CAGTAAGATTTTAAGAGGCAAATAAGGAGCAAGAACGGATGTCTTAGTGCTATTAAATACTAATATTACTTTTATATAATATTAATATGATAGTGGGAAGATAATTATGTCCAGCATGTCAAACGCACGTATCGAAATTTTTCTTCGAATAACGTTCGCGGCGAATCTACCTTTCATACTTAGACCGATCCTTGACTCCTAATTTTATATATATATTTAAAATTCCCAAAACCCATTAAACCGAGGACTCAAATAGATTCACTATATATGTTGCGAAAAAACTGCCTCCGCCAGGACTCGAACCTGGAACCTCCCCACTTTCCCACTTTCCGGGTGGGGAGGTTCCAGGTTCGAGTCCTGGCGGAGACAGTTTTTTCGCAACATATATAATGAATCTATTTGAGTCATCGGTTTAATGGGTTTTGGGAATTTTAAATATATATATAAAATTAGGGCTCAAGGATCTAAGTATGAAAGGTAGATTCGCCGCGAACGTTAATCGAAGAAAAATTTCGATACGTGCGTTTGACATGCTGGACATAATTATCTTCCCACTATCATATTAATATTATATAAAAATAATATTAGTATTTAATAGCACTAAGATATCCGTTCTTGCTTTTTATTTGCCTCTTCAAGTCTTACTGTTAGTTATTCTAAAAAAGGAGTTTTCTATCATTTCTGTATATATTACTCACCAAAAATTACTAGGCCAAACCTGCCTATTTTATAAGCAGCATACTTAACAATTAATCAATCGAATAGTTTTGTGTTCATTTTTTGTTCTGTTTTCGTACAGTAAATGGATTCAGCGTATCTTTCGCAGTGATTGCAGAAAAGGCGTTACATTTTGATTGGGATCCCAAATAGTTTTACACGTCAGTGTAAACTATTAGTGACTAGACAAAACTAACTACCCAATAACTGCTCACAGGCTGCATTAAATTTCTACCAGGAGTCGTTCTTCATTGAATCAAGTTGACTGAAGTAGTAAGTCGAGCCGGGAATATCTCTGCGAACGAAAACAACGGCAACGTTAATCCGTGAATAATAATCCACGAGATAAAGTTAATCCTTTTGAGTACGTATTATCCCGTATTGCCGGCGACACACGCGCAAACACCTGTGAACGCAAGCACGTTGACGCAAAGCTGTGTGACGCATTAATAACGCGGTAAACAAGGGGAAACTAATTGTCTCCGCGGCGACGTTAAGACCGAGCGCGTGTCCTGCACATTTCGAGCACTCGTCGACACGGTGACGATCGGCCGGTAGGGGGAACCGGTAATTAGTCTCAATGTAGCCACCGCATAAATAATAAAGCGGCCGCGGGTGGATCGTAAGCGTGAAATATGATCGGCGGCGCGATCTTTACATGGGTTTATGCGACGCGTGTACGGGCACGCCGACGCGACCTGGGGATGTGTGTGCGAGTAGAAGGTATAAAGCCTTCGTTTACCTCCGTGTCCTGTGTGACAGGCATAAACGAGGCAAACCGCCGCGCGGCGGTCGACCGGGCGAAAGCAATGAAAACCGCCGCGCCGCCGTAAGCGACCGCCACCATCCGCGGATCGTAGGTAAGCGGCGGATAGGCGGATAGGCCATGGTGAACGGAAGTAATCCCCCTGGCGCCATAAACGCGAGCGTACATCACCGGCGTGGATAACGTCCGGCCGAGGATCGCCTACCTGCGAGCGAGCGGCGGACGTTACGCGCGCTAACTCTTTTACGAGATTTTGTCTCGTAAAGTATACACCAGGCGTAGGTTCTCCGGGGGACAGTTCCTCCTCCTTAGACCGTTAATGGCAACCCTTCGCGTTGCGCGCGAAAAATAAGAAAATGGAAAACTCCTTGGGATCTGATCAGAATATCAAATCAGTCCGATTTCCCAAAACAATTGTGGATTTTGGGGGTTAGAAGTGTAATGTCTCAAACATGCAATTCTAATAAGGAACTATTTCAGACGTTCATCCCCGATTTTAATGAAACTTCGTAGATTTTGTAAAGAGGGTTCACATTCGATATGTTATAATCGTTAGTATTATTTTTAGCGTTGCCGAAACGTTTCGTAAGAAACCGCTTCGACAGCGCTACAACATTATTATGATTTTGCAAGTGCTACGCTAAGCGTCGCCTTGAAAATATATTATAACATATTGGGGACAGGTCAGCACTAAATGCAACAACTCTACAGTTGTCTAAACACCCCCGCCTATGACCTAATTATAGATTATAAAAGGACCAGAGAAGAACGCCAAACAGGTTATTGCTCCTCCGGTCCTGAGACAGCAACTTACGCGACCGTCAATTTGTATTAGTTAATAAGAACTCGGGAAGTTCACACAAGAAGTGCATTAAATTTATTTATTAAACTACATCACTTCGCCTTTGCATTCTCGACCCACCGATCCCGAACCTACTCAACGTGCCTCTCCACTTGGGGCATAACAGATATATAGTTTTTTTATTGACAACTAAACGTGTTTAAGGGGATGTTTTTTTCTTATTTTTATTTTTTACACATACAGAACTTACGTGTGTTGCTTTGTTTTACCATTTTTGCAGCGGAAAACCTATCCACGCATGTGTAGAAATCTTTCCGCAAACTTTTCGAGTATTCTTAATTTTTTGAATTCAAATGCGAACGTATTGCACACAGATGCTAATACTGATATAGCTTGAAATTTTATATTAAAATTTTCTTTTCGTTTTTGTCACATATTAAGCAATGCTCCTATATATTTTTTTCACGTACTTTTATTGCGTAAAAGCATTTATAATTCTATATAACTAATACAACGTAAACTTTACAGAAAAATGTCAGTGTTCTGTCGGTAAAATTTTCAGCTTTAGTATCCTCTTAAGGAGTGAAATCAGTTCAGAGAAAATCCGCAGAATTTTTGTTTTTGGCTATAACTTTTGAGCGAAGCATGATAGATAATTTCGTAAATGTACAAGATTTACAGAATTTCGAAAGCTTTCCACTAGTATAAACGTTAACTTTTTTGCAATAAAAATACTGTGAAACTCAACTTTTTTACTTGCTACTAGTGGACATGAAACCTTTTCTAGTAGAAAAGTTTTATTTATAGGAAAAAATTAGATAAAATGCAGCTTTGTCTCTGTATGTTGGAAAGGACCAGAAATTTTTTCTCCCTTATATCCGCACTGCAACGTTGCCATCTGTCAGAATGATATAATTAGCATGGATATCTAAACTAATAGTTTTGTTATTGTGAGTTTTCTCTGATTAAGATTCCATTGAGTTCTATATTCATGCTAAGACTTACTTTAAAGTTCAAAATCGTGTTAAATCGAGAATATTAAATATTTTCAGCCTTTTGAAATGACAGCTCCTGTGATCAAGGAATTTTGAAGTTAGGACGTTAAGTGAAGCGTGTTTTGTATTTAACACTGTGTTTAATCTCTGTTTGTATTGAGTTAATTTTTAAATCGTCCTAGATATATTTATTATTGATGTAATAAAGTATATTTAGCATATTACGTAGTGTCTTTGTTTGAAAATGTTCTAGAATATCGATATTGTTATTTCTGATTGAATTTCATAGTTGATTTCCATAAGTTTTCAAACTGGTTTTAAAATAGACTTATAAAGCAATCTTACAATCGGAGGAAAATTGCAAATGCCTGCCAGTGATCCAATATATGTTACGCAGTCGCGTATCGAGTTGTTTTCGTTTGATAAAAAGACCAGAAATATATTTTTATTTAACTACCCGCATATACGGTGTGATATTTAATATACAATATAATATACAATTTAATATACAATAACATATTAGAGAAAAGTTTGCAAGTCTACAGGTTTTTAAGTTTTTATGGATTAAACGATTGAAAAAAAGAGCACGAGTTTCTGTAGTATTTCGACTCCGGGTAAGAAATCCAAGTTTGGGATAAGATTGAATTCAATTATTATTATAGTAAGATAACTAATTTAAAACAAACTTAGGCATTCTAATCAGAATCTGTGCTGGAAAAATCGTGAAAAAGAATAATAGTAAAAAAAGGTAATTTTTTGTCTACCAAAACAAACGTGAAAACGTTATCATTTCTTAATTTTGATTCGCCATTTTAGATATCGGAAGCCAGTCATCCACAATATCGACGAGTTCAGCAATACTTGTACGATATAGAAGATTATATGGAGAAATACAACTTTAATCTCAAAAAAGAAGATATTCCGGGTAACCAGGTGTTTCCTGGTAATTCTATTAATAATAGCACCATTGTATTTAGCTGATCAAGATTAATAAAGAATGATAATGTTTTCACGTTTGTCTCGGTAGACAAACACGGCCTTTTTTTACTATTGCTTTTTCTATGCAGATAATCGTCACTTGCGTCAGATATTGTATAACAATCATTGGTCAATTTTCTGATTAATTCGTAATCGATGCACGTCTCATGCGCGTATTGTGTGAGTATTAGAAATCGTTGCGTTTTTCCGATCGATTCTTAATGACGCAATCGCGTACGCGTGTATCTATACGTGCATCACACAACAGCTTATTTATTAATACATTAACATAATATCGTCGCGACAGTTAAGGTCATACAAACGAAGAATATTGTTCAAGATTTATAGTAAAAATTAACAATATATCCATGATGTTCCTCGCAAAGAATTTCAGGGCGGCTGTTAGTGGCAAATTAATTGCGCTGTAAATCAAGCATTGAAGGTTGCGTATTCTCACAGTCGTAGACTGTGAATAATACGCATTTTCTCTCTTCTCCATAAGAATGAATGAAAAATTATCAAAAGGGAAAAATGAAAGATATGATTAGAAAACCTAGAAACTTCGACAGCTATAAACTTAAGCATATTATTATCCAATAATATAAACAGAAAACTCGTCAGTTCACAAGAACGATGAATTGACTACGAGCTAATTCTCCATATTAATCTGAGCTCTCGCTAATTCTAAATTAGTTTTAATTCAAAATTAAACATCTCCGACCTATTTTCTAATTCATCACAAAATCTACAGAAGGAAGAGCAAATGAGCAAGGCTGTTTTAACATTGTGTTGCGTCCGTGAAGCGCAACACGTGCAATCAATGTCACGCCCTTCCTTTCTTCCAGACTGATCTTTGGTCGTGTAACAATCGATTGCCGATTCACATAGGCAGTCATTCGCCAACCACGGAGCCACCGACTCATTGCACGGAGTGTCTTGACATATCAACGTGTCACAATCGAGCTCTAATATTGAAAACGTGACTCAATTAATTAAGAGAAACTTGGACATATTATAGAGATATTGACATTTTTCTGTAAAGTTTACGTTCTATTGGTCGCACAAAATTACAAATGTTTTTACACTCAAAGTACGTGCAATAATAAGTTGGAGCATTGTTAAATATATGATGAAAACGATAAAAAATTTTTAAATTGACATCTGGAGCTGTCAGCGTAAATATTTATTACTGGATATAAAAGTTCTGCGGATCGTACGCACCGCACGTGTGCTACTAACGAAAGTTTCAAGGAATATTTCTGTATCTTCACAACTGAGTGCAGAAGTTCAAAAGTATAAGAAAAGTTTGTAAAACGATTTATATATATATACGTAGTTATTGTTCTGTTGTGGTAAAAAAAAGCAGTATGCATTTATACAAGATCTATATATCCAAAAAATACGAAGAGGACAGTGTGATTGTGTTAGTGATCATCTCCACGTTATCATTTTTCGAGTTCGTCCTTTTAAATATGCCAATCTATTATTATCGAGGACAAAAATGACGGAATAAAATTACACGAAATTACATTATATTGTTGTTATTTTTATAAGTGATTCATAATCGCGAATATCTAGGATAAATTGTCTAGAAAAAGAGTCTAGATAAATTTTATCTAGGATATTCAGTGGACAAATCCACTGAATTTGTTAAAATTAACTCTCAAAGATTATCATTTATTAATCGTGTGTTACAACATTTGGACAAAAATTGAAAGTGTTATATACCTTTAACTTTTTGCATAATGCATACTATGTCACCTTTCTCTACTCAGTTTTTTACAATTTTATGACTTTTACATATTTTTCAATAAGCCAAAATGACTTTAATCACACATTTAAGTTCCTAATATATCTATTACTACAATTGAGATCCCATTTGGATCACTTTCTTATTTTCGTTCCTTTATATATATTTTAATTTTATTTTTAATAAAATGTTTATCTTTATCTTTAAAGAATGCAAGTACGAATACTGCTTCAGTGTAAGAGTACAGCGATGTACAGCAATCTCGGTTAGACCTTGAAAGAGAAAGAGCAACGAAGAGATAAAAAATAAAATTGAAAAATCACGCGTAAGAAGAAGAGCAACCAGGAGAAAGGGAAGTTATTGAGCGGACCGTTTTCATCAATTAGCAACAGTTACTTCGCACAGTTAGAGAAGCGACCAGCCACGAAACCAAGATTCACTAATCGGTCTTTCAGTCGCGATTACTCCAGGATCCTTCGAGAACGAAATTTATCAACGACCGAATCGTGAATTACTGGATTCCGTCATATTGGCGCTCTCTTCTGAAACGTCATTCAAGATGTTGCTCTCTCATGCAAGGACGAAGATAGTCCTATTCGCCGGGGCTTCCTAAAGAATAAACTTTATCCGACGATCAAACATTAAATCACGAGAAAGACTCTTTTTCGGCCATGATTTCGACCATGATTTCAAACGCGTTTCGACTAGTGCTTCTCCTGATGATCGCACGTGGCTCTATCGCGAGTGCCGAGCATATCTTCAGGATCAAGTCAAATGGTTCGTCCGTCCAACACGAAGACATCTACCCGCTGTACGACAGTCACAACGAGAACGCCGCGTTACTATCTCGTGAGCTTGAGTTGCTCCAGCAGACGATCGACGCGATCCGCGACGACACTTGTAGAAGTGAGTGCCGATCTGTTCTGATCGGCCTGCGTGACCTGACCGGATGGGCGGTGAAATTTTACGACGCTACCGAGAAAATTCCGACCGGCGTCCTGGCGGGCTCAGTTTATCAGTTAGGCAACTTTGACGAATGTCTGAACGTGGGTCTGGACGACGGGGCACCGGCGGGTATTCGCGGACGATACTGCCTGGGCGAAGTCGACGTCGAAGTGCCCGAGATTTATCTCGCTAAGAACGGTTCTATATGGGAGGCTTTCAGAGACACCGAGGAACGGTATCGAGAACCGATAAGGAAATTGTACTGGGGTATCTGCTTGCCAGCCGGATGCGCGACCGAGGATATCGAGGAGGTCGCCCGGCGAATCCTGGACGCGGCCTTCGGCGGCTCTCGTCTGAAATTGACGGTCACGATGTCCGAGATGTCGTGTTACAAGGACGAGTTCGAGCCCATTGGCGCTCCGGATATTGTTTACATGTGAGTTACAGAGACATTTCTTTCTGTTTTCCGCAAACATTAGCAAAAGTTGTAAAAATACCAGTTAAGTTTCTCCTAATCTCTCATAAGAAGCTACAGAAAAATAAGAAAAAACATATTGGCTATCACTGTCGGTAGATCGAAAATCGAAATCTTTTATTATCCAAACAATTGCTTTACCAACCTACACGTCTCGACATGTTCCCCTCTCTCTCACTCTCTTATTATAGATCTTAATTGTCAAGAAGATTGTATTCTTACATAGCATATACTCCCATCTCTCACAACGAATATAATATATCTATTATGATTTACTGAATCAATTCGTATGAAGCAAGTTTTTCTTAAAATAATAATTAGTTGGAACAAATATACTTCAACTCAAATAATTGACGATCGGTTTTTAGAAAACCAATTCAATTAAAGACCATTTAATTGATGATTGATATGAGCAAATAGGATCAAAGATCGTTCAATTATTAATTAGCACATTTAATTGAAGGCCGTTTAATTGACAATTTATGTGAGCAAATTCAATGGAAGAAATTCGATTACTTAAGGTTACAATTTGTTTTGTGGATATTATTAATTTTCAGAGCATCGTGACATTTCGTGGAAGATATCAATGATTGAGAAAAACTAAATAGGGCCTGCGTTGAAGAGGACACTACATCAATTGTTACCAAATAATCTTCGATTAAGTCGATTGAAATTGTTTATATCAGTCGTCCATTAAACGGTCTTTAATTAAATTTACTAAGTTCAATTATTAATATATAATATTCACAATAATCTTTAATTCCCTTTATTCATATCAATCGTTAATTGAATATCCTTTAATTTGTCGAAATTAATCGAATGGTCTTCAATTGAATTTATTAAAACCAATTGTCAATTCAATAGTTTTCAGTTAAATTGACTCATACTAATCATCAATTAAAAATCATAATTTATCAATCCTCACGTTAACTATCTATAAATAATGTAAGTACAGAGACGAATACACAATTAGGACGGATTTTTTTACGATTGTTAATGTTCCTGTGTCCTCGCTGCGGCCGTCTTGTTAATAACGTCAGAAGCAAAAAAAACAGATAATTAAAATTCTTGCGAAACACGTCATGCGAAAGAAAGCTGCGTCTATAAGGCCGGTTCTACATTAGTTGCAAATCGCAAGATCATAAAAAAGTTTACCAATCACAGTCGATCGTTCTTCTTACGACCAAAGAAGAATTGACTGTGACTGGTCAATTTTCTTGCGACCTTGAGACTTGCAACTAATGTAGAACGACTCTAACATAACTTTTGTGAACAATTGGATACATTTGTAAAATATTTGGAAAACTTTCCTTTCACTCTAATAATCAATAAATAATCGTAAAATTAACGTAACATGCAATCTTTTTTTTAATCTACCTTTTCTTATGATTTTGTCATATTTATTTTTCGGCTGCTTATTGATCATTGGAGAAAAAGGAAAGTTTTCGAAACATTTTATAAATGTATTCAAAATCGATCACAAGTGTCACTTTAGGGACAAGCTTGACTCAAAGGAGCAGAAGTCAATTCAGAAGTTTCAGGTTAATTTAGAAGAAGAAGACACTTTAGAGATATATTCTTTTTATTTCAATGTATTTCGTAAGAGTTTCATACGTTTTCTCGCTTTTGACATCATCAATCGAGAGTTTCACGGTGAAGGGCCAGGAGACTTAATTCATGGCAATCGATAGAAATATTCTCAGTTGTGATAAACGAAAGTAAATTAAATAGTAAAACGAACGATGCGATAGAAAAAAGGAGAAATAAAATTTGTATATACAGCAAACATGTATCCACTCTTCTTCCTTTCACAGAAGTAAAGAGAAATTTAGAAGTCGTTCAACTGTCAGAACTATCTGAAACTGCCGGACATTTTTTCACAACTTTCTCAATTAACGAAGTCCATGGTCGCTGAAAGCTCTTTAGTTAAATCTCGTTCTGTTAGCTAATATTATCAGCAAAACCTTTTAATTATTACAGCAAAGTGAATCTCAAATTGAAATGTAAAATGTGTGTGTGAATGTATACAATAATATATGGATTATTAAGTAACGAATAATGATTGCGTCATTCTAAAAATGACGGATGTTTTGTATGCAATATATGAAAAGGTTTTCCATCAAGTATATCCAATGTCTAATTTAATTGAACCGAAATGTAATATCAACACATTAGTTCATAGATATGGGGTCAAAAAATGTTAGGTGACTTTCTTAAAAACAAATAAAACACGTCTTGCCAAAAATGATGAATACAAAACAATAAGATCCAATTAAAATCGTTTAGTTCAAATTTCAATGTAAATCAATCATCTTATTAATTAGATTGGAATCTTATTATTTAGATTAGATTCAGGCTAAACTTTATGCAATGTTACTGTGTAATATCCATAATTTTAAACAGAGTATCTTATGTGTCCTCTATTGTAGAATTATAAACATTTAAATGGTTCTCCCGAGAAATCTTGTTATTGGTACTTAACACGTTTACTAATCATTCCTTTTATATTGGGCCACAAGAAAGAATAAGTTTTTCTGCCTATATTGCGCAGGTGTGTGATCCTGTCCGTGATCTTGATGATTCTCAGTGGAACCGTATTTCATACTGTCTGCCTAAGAAATCAACACAAAACATCGGATGGAATCTTACCCAAGATTCTGATTTCTTTCTCTCTAATATCAAATCTAAAGAAACTTTTTAGCCCTGCGCACATCGATAATTTACATATAGACTGTATTGCCGGTATAAAATTCATCTCAATGGTGTTTATCCTTGTCGGACATTCGCTCATATTCATCATGAGTGGTCCAATGCTTGATAAAAAATTTAATGATGAGGTATTAAGTCAGACTTTTGTTTTTTATTTTTAAAAAATACGAGAAAAAAAATATGTAAAAATTAACAAATATTTCTTAAACGAGTACTATTAACATATTTAGTTAAATCAAAATTCTTTTCATTTAAATAAATATGTTAATGGTACTTAAGAAATATTTGTTTTTTTAACATTTAGATATTTTTTCTCAATGTAAAAATCTGTGTTTTTTCACTAAGAAAGAATATTGTTTATTTAATAGGCGGTAACCAAGATCGAGAACTCTATATTCCTCAATAATCCTCTGCTGGTTGATACGTTTCTTATGTTGAGCGGTTTCCTTTTCTGCAGAATACTTCTTCAAGAACTCGATAAGAGAAAATCGGTGAATTTCCTTCACTTATACGTCATACGTTACTTCAGGTTGGTATGTGAAATTAACAGACCTTTAAAATAAGCATTTATTACTGATATTGTTCCCTTCGTATCCCTTTTCAAATTCATGTTGATTGTATTTTTTGAACAAAAAGCAACAAGTTTTTCTAGGCAAGAAGATGTATCACTTCCACAGACATATTTTGTGACGTTTCACAGACGTATTCTCACGAAACTTGTTAAGTATGCTAATTGTTTCAGTATGCTAATTTCTCTTAACGCAGGTTAACACCAGCCTATTCTGTAATACTGGGCCTTTATGCCACATGGTTGACGCAACTGGATCGTGGTCCACGTTGGTCTATAATGAGGCACGAGAAAAAAAAATGTTTGTCTTCGTGGTGGACTAATCTTCTATACGTGAACAATTATGTCAACACGGACAAAATAGTAAGTCCTTCAAAATCACCGTGAATAAAATCTTATCAATTATCGTGAAAGAAATTCATGCAGAAGAAATATATTAATAAAAATATAGAATGATTGGTAAAATTATCAAAGGGACATATCAAAACATTACTTACGTATTACGTAGCACATTAATAGCTATCAACTTTTTCTCACAATCATCGTTTGCGATTTAGTGTATGTTCCAATCTTGGTATCTCGCAGTGGATACGCAACTTTTCATATTAGCACCAGCAATCATATATCCTTTGTGGAGATGGCGCAAAATTGGAAAATGCTTGCTCGTCGGTGCAACAGCAATTTCGATAGCAATACCTTTCGCGATAACGCTTTTCAACAACTTGGATCCAACATTGATGATCTATTCGCGGTATGCAAATTTAAATTTGAGATTAATAATTTAAAAAATTATATATATATATACACACGCACACAGAATGTCCCATTTTAACATAGACACTGTAATATCTCGAAAACTATACATTTCTAAAAAAGTGTTTCCAACAAAAATTATAGAATATCGAGGAGGAAAAAGATAATAATATTTTCTTCGCCTTGAACTGACTTTGAAAAACCCTATCAAAGTCAAAACACTTTAATTTTTAAAATGAAATCATATAGTTTTTTAAGGATAAATAAACTTCTCTAGCCATTTTCCAAAAGTATTGAAATAAAATTAAAAGTACTGAAATAAAAGTAAATATTTTTCAAAACATTCTACATTTTGTTTCGACACTTCTCAGCATAAAATATAAAAAGTGTTACTCTAATATGTTTGTACGCAGAATGATGGATAAAATCAATTGTTGCAGAAAAACACACAAAAACTTTAAACAAAATTCTATATATTTTAAAAATTTATTGATGTATTAGTATACAAAAATTAATACTACTGATCGATTTTTTTCTTCATTCTATATATAAAAATATTTAGATAAGGTAGTCGAAAGTGAATAGATTACAAGAATATTTCATATTTTGTGTTGAGAAGCAACAAGACCAAATATGAAATATCGCGGAAAGTATCTACTTTTCGATCATTTTAACCTAGTATTTTTATATGCAGACTAGAGGAATTGATTTATGTTGAAAAAGTCATGATTCCATTTAAAAAATTAATATTGACCAAGATTCTACAAAATCATCTCAAGGTATTTTTTCTCTCAATATTTTACAACTTTTTTTGAAAATGCGTTATTTTCAAAATATTACGGTGTCTAAATTAAAATTAAATACACCCTGTATATATCATTATGTGAGCATCATTTCGATAATAATTTATATATATTGTCATTAAATGTAAACGCTAAAACAACACTATACTAATATAAACACTAAAACCAATTATAACAATTATTATACTAATATAAACACTAAAACCAATTATAACAATTATTTTATAATAATATGTGTTATGTAATTAAATGTAGAATTATATTAAGATTAAATATCTTTACAGTGAAATTAAAGATATTACAACTAATCATTTCTTTGCGAGTACTTATATTAAAACGCACATGAGAGCAGAATCGTACTGCATTGGCCTTATGTTTGGATACGGCGCTTATCGATTACAAGCAGGCAAACATCAGTTATGTAAGGTATTAATTTCTGTTTAATTTAATGCAAATTTTTCGGAAATATATGTCCTTATTTTAACGCGGCAATTAATATGAACGTCAAATTAAATTAACGAAATTTACTCTTAGGTATATTACATTCTTTTAAGAGCCGAATATATGTACGCGTTATTTTCGCGTTTATATGTAAAATATATTAGATAGCGGCGGCTAAATTAGGTTAGTCATTAAAATGTAAATTGTGTGATGCAGAAAATTATCAAATTTGGATGGTTATTTGCAACGCTGTCGCTGCTGGTATCGATGTTCTCCATTACAATATTTTACAACGTAAGAAGGGACTTCACTGTCATCGAGGCTGCCATATACTCACCTCTGCATCGATTGCTTTGGTGCACAGGCATTGGTTGGATCTTAATTGCATCTATCACTAATAATGCAGGTATATAAATGCTTTTCTCAAAAACGACACGATTTACATATCCAGTCGTTAGATCGAAGATTTACTGTTTACCAAGAAAAATGTATTCTCTTTGACTGCAGGACCCATAAGAAATTTTTTAAGGTATCGAGTGTTTATCATTCTCAGCAGAGTGACATATTCTGCGTATTTGGTAAACGGACTTGTCGAATTACACAGCGCGGCGACTCTGCGGACACCACAACATCTAAATAATTTTCAATTAGTTAATACGATTATCGTCAAGTTCAATATACATATGACAATTTAGCTGATCCAATATAAATATATGTTTTCTTTTAGTTACGCACAACGTTGTCACATGTAATGTTAACTTTCGGGGGAGCTATCGTGCTATCAACGATGTTCGAATCACCAATACTTAGTCTTGAACGGACGTTTTTGCAAAAAGGTATATGCATATTATAACAATTATCAATAGTAAATAGAAACTGTAGGAAAAAATTGTATTTGTAAAATGATAATAGTTAATAATCTTTTAACAAAAAAATTAAGTCAGCTGCTTACATCGAAATCGGCAATAGAATTAAAATCAAATAAAAAAATAAATATTAATTGCTATTATTAACATTAAAATTACTTTAATTATATGTAGCAATTCAATTAATCTGTAATTATATTTTGGAAAGCTATTTATTTTATTGGTAATTTTATTACCGGTTTGTTATAAACACGGTATCTTATTAATCCATGTATTTCAGCTTACTAAATTAATACGTCATTAACTATTATTGCAATTACGATGCTAATTTTAATAGTATTTTATCTAAAAACCATTCAGTCAGTGATATTTTTTAAAAAGTCAATATTTCCTTTAAGGATAGCATCTCAATGAAATAATCGTGTATGTATGCAGGAATAATACCATCCAATCTTAAGGCTTCTGGAGAGTTGCATCATCCATCTCTTTTTAATGACGTCAGAAGCGAGAAAACGCATGCTAAAAATTCCTGCAAAATACGTCGAGATAAACAGATATATCCACAAAACGACATTTGCGATCGATTAAGTACACCTCTAAAATACTCCGTACACTTTCCTTTTGTTCTAAAAATCAATAGATAATCGGAAAATTAATATGACAAGATAATGAGGAAATTAGGTTAGAAAAGACGATTGCACGTCACATTTATTTTATAATTATCTGTTGATTGTTAGAACAAAAGGAAAGTGTACGGAGTATTTTAGAGGTGTACTTAATCGATCGCAAATGTCGTTTTGTGGATATATCTGTTTATCTCGACGTATTTTGCAGGAATTTTTAGCATGCGTTTTCTCGCTTCTGACATCATTAAAAAGAGATGGATGATACGACTCCCCAGGAGCCTTAACTTTTCCTTTTGCCCCACGAGTGCGAGTCATTTCTGATCATTTTTGGCTATTAAACATAAATCCATTATTCAAATTTAGCCATCATGTCATAATTTTGAGAAAAATAAAATTGGCCAAAAACGACGATTCTGAGGAATTTCATGACATTGCACTAGCTATAAAAATTCTTTTTCTTATTTTATTAATGCCAGAAGGAAGTAAGAGCTTTAAGCCTGAAAATATGTTTTGTTATTTTTTTTTATTTTGGAGATATAGCTATTTAAAGTTAATCCTTTTTTATGTAAAAAATGAATAAGTTATTTATTCCTATCTTAATGCTGCATTTCATGGAAAGCATGTGCCTTTTATAGTTACATAATATAATCGATAAATACGAAATAAAACAGCAATTGTTTCAGCCATTTTACATATACGTTGATCTATAATATAAATTATGTTGTTATCCGTAATATAGACAAACGTGTATATGGAATTGCTGAAGTTACTACTTCTTTATTTAGTATTTTTCCGATTATATTATGCAAAAGGTACTTACCGCTATTTCGTTTTACATTTTATCTCGTTTTTCTCGAAATTGTGACGTAATAGTTAAATTTGAACAACGGATTCATGCTTAAGGAGCAAAAATACATCGAAAACAACTGTTCACACTCATAGGACAAAATAGTATCGGACAATGTAATTATCCGTTTCCATTTGTATTTTTTCAGATAAGCAAAACACCGGGACATAATCCCGACGAGAGAGTTAACGCGTAATGTACGTGAAAAATAAAATATTTAGCAAAATTATGTGTACAACACTTCCTTTATCATTTATTAACTTATATAACATAATGATTAATATAAATCTCGGTCGTATCTTTTTCTTCAAATATCTTCCTGTCTCTCGTATCTCGAGAAAAAAGTCCCTCTCGCCAAACACGTAGCCCGTTCGAGCGCCATGATTCAAATCGGTCGCCTCCCTCCATCGAAGTATCCTCACATTCAAGCAAACTTGAAGGCAAGACGTAATCACTCTCGTGCAATCGTCTAAAATCATTTTCGTCAAGTTTCCTCCTGCTCCCAATCCCAATCTGCCTCCTCCGACTTCCCCCTCCGGCCGATTCTGCGGACTTCATCTTCAGCATCTTCCTCCTCCTCCTTCTCCTCTGGCCAATTAAATCTCGCGGAATCTTCGTCGGTTTCAGATTTTGAGCTCTGTCTGTGGTCTTCGTCGCGCGCAGACTTGCTGTAGTCTGTCGAGATCGAATCCGCCTCGTCCGTGCCGGATTTCGAGCCGGTCTTGTTATCCTCCGTGTCGGTGCTTCTACTTCGTAACATCGTCGTCGCTTCAGCTTCATCGTCGGCAAACGACTCGATATCCTCGGATTGCTCGCCGCTGTGCTCGCGCTTGATCGGCGTCTCCTTCTCCTTGGATTTCGTCTCACTCTGTTGTTCTTTGGGATCCTTGATGGCGTACGCCGAAGAACCGTCTTCTTCCGATCTAGATTTCTGCATCTGCCAGGCCTTCTTGAACGGATGCTCGCGCTCCTGCTGAACCAGCTTGGGCCTCTCCGGCAGGAGGTACTCGGGATCCTCCTCACTGGCTTGACTCTTTATGATGGATTCTCGCTTGAACAACCCTGTTGATGGTTTCACCGAGAGGTCCGCGCCCTCCTTCTTCACAACATTCCAGCCGGAATCCGCCAATTCCTCCTGCGATAATTTCGACAGATCTTGCAGAGACTCCCTTTTGCTTCCTTCCGTCAAGACGAAGTTGTAGCTGTTCATGTCGTCCTCCTCCTCTAAGGAGGTTTTCTGACTGCCGCTGGTGTAGGACTGCCTCCTCGAGGTATCTTGACTACTCTCCTCCTCCTCGCTTTGGCTCTCCTCTCTCGATGGTGGACCTTGCTCGCGATATTCCCTTCGTCGCATGTAAATGCCGTCGTCTTCAGGCTCACTCGGCTCCTGAGACAATCCGAGCGACGCGAGCCGCGGCCCGACACTGACAGTCCACGAGTCCATGTTGTCCTCACCCGAGAGGTCGTCCTTCAACATGGCTATTCTACCTTCCGCGGAGGATCTACGCTTCAAGGGCTCTACGTCGTTCTCATCCTCTTCTTCGCCCAACGGCTCGTCCTGAGAGATCAATTTCCCGATGAACTGTTTCCTCCGTACTCGCAACTCGCGCTCCCACTCTTCTTCGTCGCTCGTCTTCGCCTCAGAACTTGAAACGCGCTCAGGCTTCGGCGCTCGTTTACCTGCTAGCTCCTCCTCGCTCTCGGAGGAAAACGTCCTTCTCGCGACGTCTGTCGACTTCAATGCGGGCGCTTTCAATTGTCTCGCGCTCGACTCGTGTTGGTCTCTGGCGAACGAAGCTTCCTTCCCAACGAACTCCCAAGAACGATAATCGTCCGCTTCTTTGGCCGCAGTCCTTCCTCTGGACTCGGGCCGCCGCAACCCCTGCAATTCATCGTCACTCTCTCTCCTACGTTGTCGTTCATCCTCACTCTCGCTCTCCCTCGACGCTAATTTCTTATTATCCTTATTTCGGGATAACGAGCGTCTGTTTCTTTGTCCTACGACCTCGTACTCTTGCTGAGTTCTCAGGAACTCGATAGCTTCTTCTTCGGATTCATCGGTTATGTATATTCGACTGTTCACGGGTCTCTTGTTATCGTAGTCGTCCGTGTCTCTAGATGGTTTTCTGGTCGCTGCTTTAGTTCGATTTCTATTCGATACCTCCTCGGAATCGTGCGTCTCACGATCGACGAACGGTATACGTTTGCCGTTCACTTTTTTCATGGTCGGTACCGTTTCCTCCTCCGCGTCATACTCCGCGAGATTGGTTCTAGTCTGAGCTACATTCTCCTCCCAATCATCGGAGGCGATCTCTTCATCCTCCAAAACGTCCACTTGCTCGCCCGTTTCCTTCGCGGCCTCCGCCACTTCGTCTTTATCCTCGACGCTTGTCTTTTCATCTTCGAAAGCTTCGAGCGCCAAAGCATCCGTGCTTTCCATTATGACGCTCTTCACTTCCTGCATAGGAAGATCAAAAAGTAACGTCAGAACAACTGACGCGGCTATCACTATCGTTACTTCCAGAGGATCAATCTGCAAACGTAAGAATAATATACTCATGTGTGCATTCGCGTTTCCATCACGCGTTAAAAAAGCTATAAACACAGCTGTCCGATTCCAATTTTCACGTCCGATTTACTTCTAGTCGTGACGAGTCATTACTCTTAATCGTTCGCGTTTCAGGTACCGTATTCTTGACGTGTATTCGAACGCCAAGTGTGCCCTTTTTATTTCAAGTTCTGTTTTTCTTATACGAGTGTCCCGTATAAAGTTGTTTAGCTTTCGAGAATCAGAAAGTTGTACTTAACATTCGAATACGTTCGCGTCAAGCATACGGCCTCTAAAGGCACATAAAAGCTAACAATTATTCCTAAAAAAAGTTTTTAAAGTTAGATTTTCTTTTTGCTACCTTTTCAGAAAATAGTTCAAACTAAGTATCTATGTAGAAAAAAGAAAGTTATTTTAATCTTCTTTAGACGAAAAATGTTCCGTCTTACTCGCCCTTCTTCTACTCGAATAAAAAACGACAAACAGAAAGACGCGTTTAATGCCGCAAGTGCGATGTGACGTGCTGCGATATTTTCAAGTGACGTGGTCTTAAAATATCTCCGTGACTTACTCTTTAAATTTCTTAGAAAGAAATCTCACTCAAAATGAGTTAAAAATTGCAATATTTTTATTCTAAATAACAGTAAAAATATTGCCACTTCAAATAAATGTTTCACTCTTTAGAATTAATTCTGAATAAATTCTCTCTATATTTCTCTATATGAGTGAATGATTCAATCGATGTAAGTGAATGTTTTTGTGATGATAAATACATCGTATCCACTCTACAATTTTGAGTGAAAATATTTACTCAACGATTTAGGATGAATTCATTTTATATGAATGAAAAATTACTCGAATTTAAATGACTCTTGGTAGTCATTCTATTTTTCGAATGAAATTTCACTCCAAGAAATTTAAAGAATAGTACACGCGACTTACTGCCCTGTAAACTTGAAATTCCGCGGAGAATCTCGTGGTCCCAACGTTGTGGAAAAATACTGCGAATTGCGTTAAATAGACGGCGTACGATAGCCTGCTGAAGATCACCATCCAATAACTCGAGAGAAATCTATTAATGACGCCTGCAGAGCGAGTGATTATTGCATCAGTGTTTCGTGTATTTGCATGCCGCTCGGCGTTATCACTGCGTTAACAGACCTCCGTGCTCCGTGAAGCAGGCAAATATTGACCAGCATAGAGCTGCGGCCCACAACACCGGTCCGATTACTGCATAGTGAGTAGCCTCTTCAGCATCGTACACATAGTCCCGTCTGGCCTGACGCCAGGGTGAAAATAACGACCATGAACCCAAGGCCGTCGCGATCAACCATCCCAAGATCACTAACACCTGAAATTAGGACCTTGTTATTTCGATCAAGCGCGAGTAAGATAAAAGCATCAATGCTTGGATACATACATAATCCTGGATACTTTTTTATAATCTTTTGATCTTTAAATATGAACATTTAATCCCTTAAATAGTATTCCCGGAAAAGTCTCGTGTTTCTTTTGTTCTGTTCTTCAAATTTTTTCAAAAAAGTAGCAATGAAAAGAAAAGAAAGCTAACTACTTAAAAAAAGATTCCCTTTCCTAAGAGAACCCGCTTAGTCATATTAAATCACCGCTGAAGAGGTTGGACTTTCAACATAGAATATATGAATATATATCAAAGTGTCAAAAAAAAGAGTTCAAAACTTATAAAGCTAATATTCATTAAACTGAATAAAAAAACTTAGTGAACATGGATAAAAAAATTAATTCTTTCAGAATTAGAAGGGGGATCTTCAAGTTTGATGATGTACATAATTCTCTTGCTTATATTATTACATATGTCCTGAAAACAGAATATTACCTTATAATATTTTCATTGCTGTATTTATAAAAGGTATTCGACATATCTCCCTCTTATTCCTATACATAATTTATAATAAGAGATGATTCTATCATCTTACTTCAATTAGGAATATTGGACTGTCTTCGCGATCTATGATTACATATCTGTTCAGTCTTATACAAGGTGTGATTCATTAGATTTTACAAACGCTTTAAAACGCCATATTTGGATCAATCATAGCATTTCTTTAAGTGGTGTGCTTTAAAGCATTTGCAACGTCTAATAAATCACACCCATAGTTACACTCATAGTTACATAGTTATGAAATAATTTTCTGTTTTCACATTGTAATAATATAAGCGAGCAATGATGGATTTTATCAAAAGCGAAAATCGTTTCTAACGCTGAAAAGGTTGATTTTCAATTCTTGTTCACTAAGAATTTTTTTACTTAGTTTAGTTAATACTATCTATTCTATATAAGATTTGAGGCTTTTTCAACACTCTATATTCACCCTATATTTTCTATATTGAAAATTAAAATATTAGTATTTCAAGACTAAGATAATAAGTATGCCTAGAATTAATTACGTGTACAGATATTGACATTTTTACTTTTCACCAGCCGATGAGTACCTTGTGGATCCTGACGTTCTTTCCGGTGTAATCCAACATTACACCGAGACCCACGCCGAAAATATACGGCGTGGCTCTATGCAGTGGTAATGCGTAAGTTAAATTAGCAGTCTTGTAAAGGCGTTTCAATCTGCAATCGAAAAAACACACACTGTGATCAAATCACGTCGTGCAGACGCATTGTTGAAATTGATATTTAAGATGTACTCACGATATCCCGTGAAAGATGACGAGAGACAGATAATTGTTCACCGTCGCGATGTAACGAAGCGTGGCGGATAAGAGGATGAGGAAGGTCATCAGAAGGATACCGATGAGGGGTTTATACTGCAGGAAGAAAACTAGCATAGGAGCCAAGAGCGACAATTGCATGTCCAAAGCCAGCTGATGCGTGTGCGTGGCGCACTGTTAAAGAAAAAAGAAAGGAAAGAAAGAAAAGGGAAAACGCATTATCAATGCTCGATTTGTAAAATATCGCTCTCGTCTACTCACCATCTCCTCGAACGGGAAGAAGTTCTGCACGTATAACAAATTCGTCCACGCGTTGTACTTACAGAGTTCCGCGTTCGTCGCGATCACGCTGTTCCACTGCGGACCCGAGCCGATGTGTTCCATGACGAAGGCGTACCAAAACACCACTGCGAGCAATGCTGGTGTAAGTCTGAAACGTACCGCAAAATATAACAGTTGAAACCTTCATAAAAACGTTCCACCACTCGAAGCAATTGTCATAAGTATTGATTGAAGGTCAACAGAAATTTAGCATATCGTTTGTCTCTTATTAACTGTTAATTTTAACAAAACAAAACAAGGTCATACATTCAGTGTACGCGGATGTCTTACCACTCGATAGATGTTTTACCATTCGATAGATCAATAGCTATTAAAAACTTTAGCTATGCATTTCTCATAACTGTTCATTAATCAAAAAAGCGAAAATATATTCAAAGCAGAAGTGATATTTTAACAGCTTTTTGTTTCGTCGGCAGAAGAAGAATCAGTATTATATCAAAAAATATAAGAAATTTATATATATATATAATATAATATAATAGAGAGACAAAAAGAAAGAAAGAGAAAGGGATATATACTGATTTGTATTACGTAGAAGTGGACAAATTTTGGTTAAAGAAAATGGAATTTCTGGTTCTTAGAATCAAATTTATGTTATAAAAATAAAAAAATCCGTGCCTTTTAACAAAAACGCCTTAGTTTGTTTATTAAAACCAAACTTCAACAAGCACATTTTTTTCCGTGTGAAGAATACGAAATGTCAAGATGTCAAAATACGAAAAGTCAAAATATTTCATTTCTGCTTTGAATAGTTATCGCTTTCTAAGTTAATAACTAAAAGCAAATGTAGCTAGTTAATAATGTTTACTGACTGTCAATCTAGTGAATCCGCGGGACTGAGGTGTACAAGGAAAGCCAAGGTGAGCCAAGGAATTTCTTGAGCGAATACCTAATAAATCTGGCGATGAAGCGACAAAACCAGCGAATCTCGCCGCGAGTCTTCAGCTCGTTCGCCATATTGTAAGCGGTGAGAACGCCACTCAGCAGCAGGAAAGCATCCGTGTAAACTAACGATACTCGCAAAATAGAACTAGCTGGGCTGTTGGCGATCTGTTTAAACATAATTCAATCGAAGTAGAGATACGCCAGAATGTTATAATCCCAAAGGCGGCTTTCCGCACGACGGTCTCACCTCGGTAAGAGAGGTACGGTTACTAAACGGTATTCGGGAAATTGTTATAAGCTGATGGGCAACGTAAAGAGTGATCGTAGTCAGCGCTCTTATTCCGTGGATACACGTAATATCCGTAGCATCCGTCGTTTCCTTCAATAAGGCTTTAATCGTCCTTCGTAAGGAAAATGACATGATTATCCTTTCAGAGTAATTTCCTGCGAAAAAGATACGCGCATTATATCGAGCGTTATAATCGCGCGCCGGTACCGAGCTGAAATAATTCTGTAAACACAATCTTGTAGTTCTTCATAAATGAAATCTGTTTATATAAAAGGAGAAGAGATCGCATACCCTTTTCTTGCGTCTCCACGAGGTAATCCCTCACAGTCGCTATAATAACGAGACAAATGATCATCGCGTAAAAATATCTACAAGATAAAATAACGAATTAAAACAGTACGGATTCGCTTGGTATTATATTATTATCGAAATATGCTTCTCGCGTTTCTTGTTCTTCAATATTAAGAAAATATTGAAGATTTGCTTGCTTATATTATTACATGCGCCGTGAAAACAGAAGATTATCTCATAACATTCTTATTGTCGTGTTTAAAAAAGATGTCTGTCTTTCTTCCACATTTCTATAATACAACACACAATAAAGGATCATCTTACTTCAATTCAGAATAATAGACATTTGTCTTTGCAATCTATAATTGTACATCTGCTTAGTGTTACACAGAATGCAATCCATTAGACGTTACAAGTGCTTTGAAGCGCTATATATGGACCAATAATTGTTTTTTCTTTAAATGCTTCAAAGCGTCTAATGGACTGCATTCATAATTATAAGATAATCTTTTGTTTTCACACCGCATTATTATAACACAATTCTTCAATAGTAAGAAAATACGTACAAGACGCCGATCGTCTCTTTCGAGTAACTCTGAGACTTTTGCTTGACGTAACACATATTGGGATCGACGTCCACCGTAAATTTAATTCCAACAGTTGTATTATAATCGCTCAAGGTGCTTTCTAACGCGCGTTCGGCGTCTTTTGCGGAACACGCCGCGGGAAGACATAGCGCCCAATTCATCGTAGTGAATTTCGGAATGAAATGACCCGGCTGAAACATTCGATGGCTCGTTGGAAGATTTGTAATCTCAGACGTAAGTATCTAGACCAGTTTTCTAACGTTGAGTTATTTCAAAGCCATACTTGCGTGTCAAAAAAGTTCTTTCGTTGTTTAAATAAGACAGATGCTTGTGTATATACGCGCGTGTTTGTCTGGCATTCACTAGGCATTCAGCCAGTTAAATGTACATTCGGTAAGATAAATGATACTGAATGTGTGCAGTCTCAAAAACGTTCTATTCGCGGTAACTTATTTTCCACTGAAACTTCAACGGGCGGAACTTCTTACGTCGTGCATGTTGCCTCGTATAAAAGCGCGGGCCTGCATTAGATTGACCGGCAACTTCATATCCGGATGGGATGCGTGCAGGTCCACAGTAGCCAAGCAATACTTCCCCTGAATTCTTATCGTCCTCTCATCCACTTTGACATGCGCCAACACACCTAAGCACTGGTCGTAATCCCCGAGTTGATTCACGTTTCCTCGTAACAAGCCTGACGGAATCTTTGCACTCGAATCCAGCACTGGAAACAAGGTAAAGCCCTTGTACCGACAAAGCTGATGCTACTTTTCCAAACCGGAAACATTCACCTAATGTCGGATGTACAAATAAAAACGGGAAACTTCTGATCGAAGCTCTGATCATTCGATCACATCTACATATTTCGTTCAATTAATGGCAGAAAAAGAAAGAAAGAATTATAAAATGCGAGTAAATTACACGAAAAGGTTAAAACTGTAATCTATTCAATTTTATGGCGCTTGAAAACAGTAAGGTTAAAGTACCAATGTGTGGAAATTAATAACACTAGTAGCTAACTCTTCTTATTGTTTTGGTCTTTAAATATGAATAACTTACAAAATATAGAATCTACATGGTGTCTGATAATTAATGACGGACTCGTGCGCAACTCATTAAACTGAACACAAAATTTCTCTGCCATTTCGCAAACAACCATGTAAGATTTTTAGTTATTAATTAGAGAAGATTGATGAATATGATCACACGTGATATATGATGGATGAAATATAACGGTGACGTTTGTCGTCATGCGCTTGCATTATCTCAAACTGGACAAAAAACGTCTACTCTAAATGACCACATAGATCTTTAATTATTAATTAAAGAAAACTATTGCATTATTTCGCACAATCACGTAGCAATCTTCTTTAATTGATAACTAAACATCTACGTAATCACTCTGGACTTTGCAAAATAATAGAGGAATTTTGATGAGAAAGTTTAATGAGTTTCATCTGCACATAACAGGTGCGTCATTAATTATCAGACACTCTGTATATTGAATGCACACATATATGCTACGTACTGAAAGTTTAAATATATATATTTAAAAACCAAAACAATGAGAATGTCCGGAGTTGGGTGACAGTTCTATTAATATCCGAGCGTTGGTACTTTTTTATTTTTTGTTGGCAAAGAATTTCGACGGAAATAATAGATATTAGAGGCGAAGAGCACTCTCCGAGCACCCTTCGGGTGAAATAATCGTAATGACTTCAGTTCGTCAATGCTCGGAAATAGAATCAACGCAGTTATTTCTGTCAATCGACTCACTTTGCAGCGCCCACAACTTGTAACCTCTCAATTGTCGCAGGAATATCTTGCCGTGCTGCTGACAAACGGGGTCCTCAACGTTCGTAAAATTTGGCACGAAGGTCGGCACATGCAGAATTGCATCATTCAGCTCGGACAATGTAACGGATGCGTCTGTGTGTTTCCTCGTTTTCGGCTTCGTCTCCCGCTCTAGAAAGTATATCGCGCAATCGATCACGCTAAAGTGTTCATCCCATGGCCGCTTTCACGTCGCACGAAGAAACACGCTCAAAAGCATGTTTATACTTTCACTATTAATGCGCTGCATTACCGAGGAAAAGTACATGGAGAGGAAAACTGGAAAATTCTCCCTCCGCGGAGAATTCTCTATTTAGAAAGAAACAATGAGGAATTTCTCCGCGCGGGAGAAAACTCGATGAGAAGAATAAGAAGGCTTGAGAGCGCGCGCGGCTCCGTTGGATTAAGCTAGACTATTAATTAAGTTACTACCGCCGATATATATGAACTGCCTATTCACGCGGAAGCACTAAACATCCTCAGACGCGAATGCAGCTTTCCATATTGAGCCAATTTTCACGTCATAATACTCACTCTCTGCTCGCGAAACTTCCTTCGACGGTTGCGAAGTTGGTTTCGCCGCTGTCTTTTTCACGTCCGCCTTCTGCGGCTGTTTCGCTTGCTCCTTGATCTTCGGCGCAGGTGTTGAAGTTTCTACTTTCGCGCGCGTCTTCGATTTCTCGTCTACCTTCGCTGAGGTAATAGGCGCCTCGGTTTTAGGCTTAGAGCCAACCGTTTTAACTGCTTGTTTTGCGCCTTCAGGTAATTTCTTTGCTCCTTCGGCTGATCTCTGCGTAACCTCGATGGACTTCTTCGCACTCTCGACGGGTTTCTTCATGCCTTCGATCGATTCGGGTTTCTTCGTGCCTTCAACTGTCTTTTTCGCGATCTCTACTTTTGGCTTTGCGACGTCGACCGGTTTTCTCTCTTCTTGTTTTGACTTCTCCACAGCGAATGTGCTAGGTAAAATTTTAGCCATCTTATCTTTGTCTTTATCCGCGAGCCTCACTTTCTCCAACTTTCTGGGTGCTGGAGCGGCCGGCCTAGTGTCAGTTTCTTTGTCTTTTCCGCCGTTTTCGTCGTCTTTATCATCGTCGCTTTGCGAAACCTGGACTTTAGTTCGGTCTTGTTTCTTACGTGACACACTCACTTGTTTCCTAACTGGTTCTGCGACTTTTTGCTTATCTACTTTGGCTACTACATGTTCTTTTTCTTCTGCTTCGCTTCCTTCATCCTCATCCTCATTGTCGTCGTCGTCGTCGTCACCATCGTCATCATCAACAACAGCAGTTTTGCTTTTGCTGTATTCCACCGCCCTAACAGTCTTCGCGGTCTTAATTTTCGTCTTGATTTCTTCCACTTGCTTCTTCGAATCCTTCTTAAGAATTTTCTTTTCGACACCTTCGTCATCGTCGTCATCACTATCGAGCTCTTTCTTCAATTTCTTCGGACTCTTTTTCTCATCCTCAATATCTTCATCTGACACCTCGGCCGTTTTGTCTTCATCTTCATCCTCGTCTTCATTCGTTCGATCTCTCTCGGAATCTCCTACTGACTCACCATCTTCTTCCTGCTCCGCTTCGTCTTCTACTTCCACACGCGCCTCTTCCTCCTCCTCGTCATCATCTACCTCGACACTCTCTATTCTAAAATTCCTCGGTCTAGTACCCTTATCTCTTGGATGTTCAGCGGCCTTTTCGATTCTCGGACGGGTCCCCTCCAGTTCATCGACTGACGTCGGTTCGGCAGGTGGTTTCCGGCCACCAGTAGTTCGCAACTCGTGCCACTTCCGAGCCAGGTACAACGGTGCCCCGCTCGTCGTGGTCGTCGTCGTGGTCGTCGTCGTTTTGTCGGGGCAGGCTCTGCCATGCGTGAGAACGCAGGTACCCGTCGGCGGTCCAACGTCGCGAATCCGGAAGCCATAGCAGGTGGCGTAGAGCAGCACGACGAGCCCCAGCAGCGCGACGTACTTGCCCAGAAGGGCGACAGCCATGACAGAGCGACCTTCACATCGAAGAGACGAGGACCGGACGCCGCTGGCGAGGCGAGGCCCACCGTCCTTCGATGACGCGTTCCGTCGTCGTTCGACTTCTTCTGCGAGCTAACGACAAGGACAACCGCGACTCGTCACTCCTCCGCTTCTTCGCGCCCGCGATCACGCAGGATCGATATCTATCGGCGATCTATCGCGCAAGTCGACGTGGCAGACCCCGGGCCAACACGTCCACAGCCGGCCGTGCCTTCGAGGAAATTAGAGCGCATGGCATCGGCCCAAGCAGCTAGGAGTTTTATTTAGCATCAACATCTCGACCACCACCAGCGGCGGCAACGGCAGCGGCCTCTCCTCCGTAGCTGCAGCTGCGACTGCGTCCGCGCTAACGGAGCAGCGGCGGTGCGACCGGGCGATTCGCACTGGCGTGAATTCATTACGCGAGCTATCGGGAATCGCCTCCACAGTGCTCACGTAATTCCGATGTGTGCGGTCGCAAAAAAAGGAAACAGGAGCTTCACGGGGCTGGAATAATAGAATTTAATACTGTGGGAGCGGCGCGCCATTGCGACTCGGCTGCGCCGAATTTCAATTCGTATAATTCCGCGGCAAAGCGGTAACAAATGCCACTGAGGGAGCGCTCTAAGTTGGCAGTAATCTCTCTGCGCTCTAAATTTATATTTCGAGTGTTATCTCTGTGAAAGGAATACACGGTCTACAAAGAACATAAATATGTTTACAATATAATATTCTTTCCTAATTTCTAAATTAATAAATAAATTGATACAATGACAGTGCGCGGAAAAAATGTTACAATAAAAATTACGTTATACTGACTGTATATATTGAAATTATAACAAACAGTATTCAAATAATTACAATAATTTTGTAGTAAAAAGTCAAATGTCACATCTTTAAATATCAAGTAATTAATATATATATAGTAATTTCAGATATAGTTATTTTGTAATATTTTTTATAAAGCTGGTCTATATTGATATTTTAATGTAAATACAAAAAAACAGTAAATTTGGCGATTTACCTCTTCCCTCTTCCTAATACACAATATAAAAATTATTCAAGTAATTACAATAATTTTTTAGTAAAAGGTTAAATGTACATAACATTTTTAAACAAATATATAATAATTTCCGTCACAAGTTCTTTTTACGATGTTTTTTGTATGACTAGACTATACTAAAATCGAATATACAATATAAAAAAAAACATTCATGTAATTACAATAATTTTGTTATAAAAAGTAAAATGTGTATAAAAAGTATAAAAAATATAAAAGTATAAAACGTTATAAAAAGTAAAACGTGTATAACATCTTTACAAATGTATAGTAATTTCGATCATAATTATGTATACACCAAAGTTTCAAAAATTGTCGAAAAGTTGTAATTTTTACTATACAATATTTTCTCTATAATTATTCTTTCGGCTATTTCAACTCACGTCGTCGTGCTAGTCTTCTAAGATTAATTCTAATATTTTCCATTAATTCACTTAATCTCACTTGTACCCTGATATGTTAATTTCCCAAACAACGTGTAATGAAATTTTAATGAGCATTCCCGAAACAGTAATTGTATTCAAATGAATATGATTACACTTGGTGATTGCGATTATTTATTCATAGTTCTATTTAGATTACGGGAGATAACACGTAAACGAAAACACGTTGATCCGCTTACTGCGAATTTAATCAATCTCAGAGAACAGCGGTGACGAATTTTGCGCACAAATTAGAGAGAACGAATACACGAGAAGTCAACTGTCACTTAAACGTTACGGTCGTTTTGGTGACGAGATTGTCGCGGTCAAAACTTACGTATTCTCTCTCGCCGATTTCGAAACCTCGTCAAGAGCAATTGGCTTTATCACGCGTTACAAATTGGCAGCTAGAATTCTGAAATTTAAAATGGCTGTACAATCCACGATATAAAGCGTCTGCAACGAAAAAACGAAAGTCTCATCTACGACGCGAAAAGAAACGCCATCGTTCGTGGTGAGATCCACGTTGGAATGGAAATTTCAAAAGCCGAAATGAAAATGTATCGCGCGAAACATCTTCCAAGACGAAAATCAGTCGTTCCTGTAGCAAACGGCAGGATCGGCTACTTATCCGCAGGTGGCTACCAATACGACATCTGACTGATAAAATTTGACATATAATAATCTATATCTCTAGTCATATATATAAAATAGGAAACGTGAAAATTCGCTTCACGGTCACTTTAGCTTATCATTCATAAAATGAAATGTCCCGTATTTATAATCAACAAGAAATCTCCACGAGATAATGCACTTTATCTTTAGATGACAAAATAAACAGGTTTGGGCGTTTAATACATAAATTACAATATTCTATGTCTACATGTAGATAACTATGTATAAGATAATATATTTATGTAGATAATAAGTGTAATGTATGAATTTTACAGTATGCACAGAAAGAAAAGCCATTCTTGCGTGGAAAGTTTATTTTTAACATGTAAATCTTTAAATAAAATTACATAACGATAAATGAAGATAAATTACTTGCAAGAATGAATTTTGTATGATTTTTTCCAACATGAAAATAATTTTCATTAATGCAAAGCACAAAATATTAGATTAAGGATATGATGTTATTAAATATCGGAGGAAGATATTAACACGAAAATAATCATTGTTTTTTTTTATGACACTATTGTAATATTTAAAATTATATTATCGAAATTCAAGACTTCAAAATTCTTTTAATGTAATGATATATCGTTGCATATACATATATACATATATATATATATATATATATATATATATATATATATATATA